CACAGGTGAGCCAAAAACTGATTACTGAGAGCTCTAACGGTGGAGTTTACCAGTTTGGGAGAGGCGTGTCCATAACTGAGCTTAATGTCCAGGAAAGCCACCTTCTCTCCTGTACACCACGGAAGTGCAGTGGGGAGTGGAAACAGTGAGGCACATGGCTCGTGCTCAAGATTGCCCAGGCTGTGCACCAAGGTGAGTCCTCTGGCTTACGTCAAAAGCTTGGAATTCTTGGACACATCACATAAAACACTGGGGAGCAAGGAAAGATCAGGATTCCATAACTATGGGCACATGGCAGATTGGAAGTGTCATAATTTTTAATATTCGAGAAAAACATGGCTTCTCTTTGAAACCACAGACTGTTAATTTTGAAGACAGGTGTTTATTGTATATTTGTGTCTGTTATTTGGGTGGGGTGCAGGGGTTGGAGGGGAGGTTGTCTACCAGTGTGCATAAAAACCCATATGAAAGAATAAACACCAATGCCTTAAGCATAGTTGTTGGATGGGTAGGATTCTTATTATTTTAAATGTTCTTCTTTTGTCTATATTTTCTGACATCAAGTATTGAGTTTTCACCAACAAAAAGAAACTTCATTTTAGAAAACATAATCTTAACGGAAATTCCATTTAATGGTGATATTGCTGATATTTAATTTTTCCCATATTTAATAAAAGCAGGCACTTTGTAACTCATGCCTTATCCAAAATGAATACATTTTCATAGGTCCTTTGACAAGATTCACAATTGCAATGATCTTCTATTCTTCAGCTCAGATGAATATCTCCATTCAATGAATATGACAGGGAAAATTCACAGAATATTCTATAAAACAAATATACTGAGAGTTGAAACATAAAATATTGTTCAGGTCATTAAAGTTTTATTATTTGGAGCTTGTGTCATACTGCCAAACTGGTGACAAAATACAAAGATTAAATCAGATTCGTAGACAGTACTATCAATGCTGGGCTATAAATGACCTGTAGTTTTTCAAGACATTAAGTTGTTGGCAATCAACCAAGTCCCGATACAAGCAAAGAATGAATGTCAATTAAAGAACTTCTATTCATGATACAAGTTAATTATGAGTCCTTCTTTTCTGTGTTCTCAAAGAAAAATGTGAAGGGGATTTTAACATTCATTTATCAACTATAAATACAGTGAAGTTTTCTCTGCAGCCTCTACTGGAGAATGGAAACACCTTCATGCACACAATGACTTCATTTCCCCATTACCATATAGCTATCAGGATTTGTTATATTCTATGATTTCATTGCACTGGGAGCTAATTAGTGGAATCCCTAGGGATTAGCGATACAATCAAAATAACTATATTGAAATAATCCTCAAATGGAATTACACAATGAAGACATTTTACAACCAAAGAGACTTGAAAGATCCACTAACCCACATCTGTCATTTTATAGTCATAGAAACAACTGGAGACCTAGCTAGAACAAGGGTCACAAAGCTAATGATAAGCAACGCCAGCACTAGAATGAAGACCTTCTGTTTCTTTACCATGCACATCATTTTTAAAACTTCAGTTTAAAGAGGTGCAAGGAAACTTGCATCTTAACCTAGTTTCAATTTATTTGGGATTCAAAGGTAAGAGGAACCATTCTTCATCCCCTCATAATTTCATTATAAAATGATTTTTCCCAATAAACTTCCTAGTATATATTTTTATTCATGATTCATTTAATAACTGGGGTTCTAACGTGTGTCATGCATTATTTTGATTGTATGTTTAAGCAATGGGTCAGGGTTCTCCAGAGAAACAGAACCAACAGGATACATGCATATATAGAGAGAAACACTTAAAGAATCGATTTATGCGATTGTGGAGGCTTGGCAAGTCCTAAATGTGATGGAGTAAGCCAGCCGGCTGCAGACTCAGGGAAGACTGGCGATTCAAGTCCACAGACAGTTGTCTGTTAGAATTCCTTCTGGCTTGGAGGGGTCAATCTTTGTTCATTTAAGGCATTCAACTGATTGGAAGAGACCCATCAACATTAGGGAGAGTAATCTGCTTTACTCAAAACCCACAGATTTAAATATTAATCTTACCTAGAAAACAGGTTCACGGAAACATTCAGAATGTTTGACCAAATACTTGGATACCATGGTCCAAACAAGTTGACACATAAAATTAACTATTACAAGCAAGGCTATCAATTAGGTCAGCAGCTGTCTTCGAATTAAAAGCAGGTTTGGCTTTAAAATACAAGAACAAGTTTCTGATTCCTTTATCACTGATGATGCCTTACTGAATGACTACTTGGTAGGCTCATTCTCTTGAACCCACCAATACCTAAAAGGGTTATGCAGTTACTTTCATGTACACAGAAGCATCTTAAAGAGCTGTCAATTTTCTGTAATGTGTCTTGCAACAAACTCCAGGAAAATTCAGACACCCATGGAAATTGACATGTAAAGTGAAAACACTCAGGTACCCCCAATCCTAAGCAACAGGGGGAAATTATAATCTAGGAGGCCGATATAAAGCACCCTCCCAATGGCAGGTAAAGTGACATAAAGACTCCTTACTCCCCAAACCAGAGCTAATCCTGGTATGGAAACTAGACATCTACAATGCCTGAGAGATGGCTGCACTGAGGCCTGTAAATCTGAGACAAAGTGCCCAGTAGTATTCAAGAACTGGATAAGAAACTAGGGGAAGGGAGAGAAGGCCAGGGATGAAGCTCTCCTTAGAGTAGTCAGTCTTTTTTTTTTCTTTTTTCTCTTTTTTATTTATTTTATTTTTTATTGTTTTATTGCTTAAAGTATTACAAAGGGTATTACATATGTGTCCTTTTTTCCCCCCGCCCTTGACAATCCCCTGGTCTCCCCTGCCCCCCAGTATCTTATGTCCATTGGTTATGCTTATATGCATGCATACAAGTCCTTTTTGTTTGACTTACAGGGAGGCAGGGCCATTATTCCAGGCCATCCGAAGCTGGGAAATAGCCACAGTTCAGATGATGGACACCTACTGGGAAGAACATGAAAAATATTTGTGTTTCTCTGCTGCCTTCATCCACTTAAAGAAAAGAATGGAATTCTAACCTGAAATCCAAATACTACATTATACCAGGTCAATTACATAAGTTTCTTCAGAAGGAGTATCAAAATGCACAATATGATATTGCTCATCTCTGTAAACTACTTTTAGCTTATTGAAGTGAAAATTTGACTTTAAGTACCAAGTAAAAAATCATTTATCTTTAGAATATGACTTCACTAAATATAAACCACATACCAAATGATATATATCAAGATGTTTCTAGACTCTTAAAAATGCTACTTAAACACAGATTGGTGTCTGGTTTCCTATCCTGTTAAGAATAATCTTTCCCCTTGGGTTTGAAGAGCACAGCAGGATATCCTTGAACCACCAATATACTCCCTCAAGCAACATGAAAAGAGTGTCATTGTTCCCACTAAATTCTAAAGTTGATCAGAACCAAGATAGCATAAGTGTCATATGATCACTTTGAGCATTAGCAGTATAATAAAACAATAATTAGTCCTAATGACTTGTTGAAATAGCTTTCTTTTATGATCTCTATTCATTCATGAATAAAGAGACATTTTAGGTTAACTAGATATGTTTAATGCAAAAGATGACAAGATGAATAATAATCTGAGTCTGCCGAAAGCATTAAAATTTAGGAAAAAATCCTAAATTAGCGTGAAAATTTGAATTCTTAAATATTAGTTCGGAATTCTGGGAAAATACATATTTCTAGCAGATAAACTTTTTTTTTTACTTTTCAAAGCAAACTATAGTTGATAAAATATTTCAGTGTTGTAGTCTTGTCAGAAGAAAGCTTATAAATTCAGTTCTAATACATTCAATGGGCATAATGTTTTTGTCACAATTCATTTAATTGGCATAAATATGCACTTCAAATTTTCCTTCTATTTTTCTTGAAATATGATGGCACAAGTTCTCAGAAATATTCTAATTTTATATTACTTTATTCTTGAAAATTTAATCAGGACCATCTTAAGTTAATATTTCTTATTTTAAATTTGAATGAAAAAAAATGTGTTTCCTCTTGACAAAAAAAAAATCAAAAATAGACTTCTAAGAGGATTTATGCTTTGTTCACAACATCCATTAACAGAAGAAGGCCTATTTGCATAGAAGTCCTTCTTTAAAAGTTTTAGAAATATTCTTACTGACCAAAGTATCAATTATTACAATTCAGACTCAGAGGTTAAATGAGATTTTATTAAACACTGTAAAGGATTCTTCTTGTTTAAAGAATAATGTCAGGATTTATTGTTCTATTTCTTGAAAAACTGACATTGGAATTTTTATGGGGATTGCATTAAATCTGCATATTGCTTTGGGTAATAGGGCCACTTTAACTACGTTTAACTATGTTCTTTGAGAGAAAGCCTGTGTGAACCTGAAGCTTAACGCTCCTGTTTCTCCTTTCCCAGGGATTGTAGCCCAGCACTGAGGTGCTATCAATGCTTCCTAATATTGTTTTACATATTTTGTCCAGGTTTTGTGGTTATTTACAGCGGCAGGGTTTATCTCATACCAGTGACTCTTATAACAGCCAGAGACAGAAATCCAACAAATATTTTTAATGAATGAATCATCAAGTCCTGTGATTCTATCTCCATAATTGTCCTTGAATCCATCTTTTCTTTTCCCCTATTGCCTCTGTTTTACTTTAGGCACCCTCACCTCCAGTCTACCTTATTGGTACAGGGCTCTGACTGAGCTCCTTGTCCCTAGTTCTGCCTCCAAACACCTGCCACACTGAAGTGAGTGTTTGTGTGTTGTTAACGTTAATATTATATGTCAGTCCTCCTTGGAAAACCCTCCAATGGTTTTGGTCCGCAGGACCCAACCCAAACCTTTTGTATCCCTCTCTAGCCTTCTCTCTCCCTGTTGCCCTCTGCCTCCCACTCCCCTCCTGAAACATGTATTGTAAGTTACCTTCAGTTCCTATACATTCGCTGCTCTTCCTCACCTCCAGACTCTTGCACCTGCTGCTTTTCTCTCCCTGAAATGATCCCGTATTCTAACTCCAGCCATGCACTCACATGCCATGTCTTCTGGGGCGTCTGCAGGGATTTCCCCGGGTTGGACTAGGTGCCCCACGTGTGCTCATTTGCACTCGGCACTTTCCCTAACCATACTCTGTACTGCACAGTTTTATAATTACCAATTTATGTTTCTGTACTCCCAAGACCATAAGTTTCTTGAGGCAAACCCCATGTGTTATTCATTGTTTTATTCCTATTTACTAGATTACTGAATAAATATGTCTTGAATTAATGCATACTAATTTTTAGCAACTTGCCTGACAAGAATATATTTCTTCTCAATTAATTATATATCCCCATTCTGTGCAATAAACAAATAAATACATAAATAAACCTAATTTCAAGAGTAAATAAAATAGTAGAAGTCAAGGGACACATAATGAGAGTACTAAACAAAATAAGAAGCCGTGGTTTGAGCTGTGCTAGGTATCTGAATATCATACAACCTTTCCAGTTTGGTTTTGTGATATATGGACAAAGTAATCACAATTACAAATAATTGTCCATTAAAACTAATGTAACTATATTAGAGCCTCCATAATTATGCCGATTCCTAGCATCATATGATCACTGCACATTAGTTAGAAAACAGGGTTTAGAACTAGGTCATCCTCTCCACTTCATAAATGAAGAGCTAGTTTGAAGGAAATAAAGTGACTTTCTTGTATTCCCACAGTTAGTTGAATGGTAGCCCTATAGCCCAACTTTCCTGTATTCCTTCAATTGTCTTTAAATTTATTGTATGCTGTATAAAAGAAATGTTGACCATCACCAATTTTTACTAATGTCCCACTAGACAGCAAGGGAAACAAATCACTTAGACCCCATGTTCCTCCCTTATCTTAGGATCCAGTAAAATAACTATGAAAAAAATAACCACAGAGACATTAGAGGCACTGAAGACTGGGTGGGGCAGAAAGAAGAGCCTCCCATGAGATGTCAAGGACCATGATAACATGACCACTTGCTGTCAACTTATAGTTAGTTCACAATCTAATAATTAAAACATGCATATTTAATTCTGCACCCTCTAACAAGTGGCTTTTGCTTAAGAGAGAAAGTTTATTCCTTGGTTTCTATTGGATTTTAATGAATAACACATATGGCAGTCAAAGATATGTGTTCAAATGAAACCAGGAAGAAAAATACTGACTTATTTCTATCAAGCAGTAATACTGAAAGCCACAGATGACAGAGTATGTAATTCCTACTTTCTGAACACATTTAACAAGTGCCTTTTCAGTGGTCTTAAATCCTTTCTAGAACAAGGTGGGGCAAATGAGAAACAAGGTAGAAAAGAGCTTCTGTTTTGTTTTCAAGAAATGACTGGCCAAAACCAAATACTTGAGTACACCACCTGGGAATCAGTTATATTTCAGTAACATTTTCTCTTATTGAGAGTCAGAGATCCAGATGCTAAAAATCGCCCATTAGAAAATGTCTCATACCATGGCATTACTGTTATCTTTTTGGAAAAGTTTTGACTCACAAGTTATTATACATATCAGTTTCTGGTCCTGCTGTACACTCTTCCAATAGAGCTGAGAGTGTTTATAAGAATGCTCATATTTTTCTCCCAATATACCTATCAGCAGCGTTAAATTATACTTTATAAACAAGAACGACTAGGCATTTGGGGTTTACACTCCTTATCTAGTGTCCCAAAAGCACGTGGCACTACCTAAAGAGCAGAAGGAGCATCTTAAATTTAGCTTACAGAATCAACCTGGTTCTGAAGGTAGATACTTTCTGGATATTACCAACATGAAGCTTTGCCCAATGGACAGGAACATTTATCGAGTGTTGTTGATGTGCAGAAACTATGCTAATCCCTTTACAAGCATTAACACATTCAAACTGTCATCCCCATTTCATACACGAGGCACACAGAGTTCAGCAGCCTGCTGGGGGGTTCCAGCAAGCCAGTGGCAGAGCGAGGACTTAAAGCCAGGATGTCTGGCTCTGGAATCCTCACTTTTAATCACTACCCTCCCCACCGTCCTATTTCACCCCACTAATGTGGCCTTAATGAGAAAACAAGTTTTTCCTCAATTTCCATTTGATCTTTGCCTTCTTCACCAAGAACCAATAAAACAGCTGATGGGTTTTTTTTTTTTTAACTTTTATTAAAATGAGTTCACTTAGGGTAACAGGAAATCTAAAACTCAAGGCCAGCAATTAAGCAAGTGGAGACCTCACAGGAAATGTTTATTTTGTCTCAAGAGAATCATTACAACACTCGCAGCTTAAGAAAGTGATACGATATATGCTTTTGAGGGTTCCACATACACACAAGTCAGCTGCCCCTGGCCCGTATTCACCAGAGAATTCCATGTATCCAAGACCTCGTGCTGGTGTTTTGAAATGTATGGATGGCTATTAACATTATGAGAAAGCCAAAAACCAACTTCCAGATACGTAGTCCAGACACATGGCTTTCCTCAGCTCCACAAAGCTCAAGAGCTGTTATCAGCCACCTGGTCAAGGGAAGCAGCAGGAGCCGATGCAAACACAAGACAGGCTGCAGGCAGTTCCTCCACCCAAGTACACCCCAGGGCAGAGCACCTCCAGGAACAGAGACAGAAGTTAGCATTCAGTCGTGGCAGACCCATGAATGGAGATCTCTTTAAAGGCAAAGCCGTGAGTGCATCGAGCTGAAAATCAGATCCCGATTTGGGATGGATGTCACCATGAGAGATAGCTTACTCATGCGCACGTCCTGTCAACTTGCTTTCAAACATGAACTGCGTGAAGCACAAAAATCACGTGACTTCTCAAGTGTGCTCGCTTCTGCACAGATAAAGCTGCTTTATTTGGAAACATGGCAAAGGAAGAGGGAGCGGTATCTGCAAGCCGTGAAGCTTATTAAACAAATTCATCTCCCAAGTACTTGAGGTGCTCTCAGTCCTAATTAATGTCTCTTGCAAATGCACCCTCATAGCTAACGCTCCCTGTCCTGATCTAAGCCATATGCTCCTTCCTTCTTTTTAATGATGTAAATGGAAATCGCTGGCATTTGTGGGGGTTTTGACTGAATATTTCTATTACAAAACCGTTCTTTCCAAGCTGATGCTCTCTGCTGAGATCAGTGGGTGAGAAAATCCCTCTGTGGAAAGTTTCCCACTTTCTGCCTCTCCTGATAGCCTGTGTGCAGAGGTGAGGCCTTATATGTGATTAAGTGTTGCACTAAGTATTTCGCCTGTATTAGAAGCAAGCTTCTATAGAGTAGAACTTTTCACATAAAGAACAGGGAAATTGAAAAGGGGACAGCTGAGTTCAATGGATAGCCTGTACGGTTGAAGCATAATCATCTCTCATAAGGAGGTTTATGGTTTACAGTGAGGTTCAGAAAATAGGTTGCTTTCTTTCAGAAACTAAGAGATTAAATCAATTCCTTAATCCTTTCTAGCGACTGCTCTTTATCTGTTTTCTTTTTAAGAAGCACGCCTCATGTAAAGAGAGATGTACAGATGTACGAGATTTCGGAGTTGGAAGAGACCCTAGGGATCACCCAGGCGGGTGGGCCAAGAGCCTCACTGTGTATCCCAAACTCCTGATGAGCTTGGAGCCTGGTTCTTCCCCCGAGAGATTGCAATTAAGTTGACTTGAGGTGGACCTGATGGAGCCAGATACATTATTTTTCAAAAGCACTCCCGGTGATTCTCACGCATGCCCTAGCTTGAGAAGCTCTGATCTTGCCCGCTCATCTCTCTGGGGGCAAGTGATATTAAATTTTTTATTCAATGTCCGTAGCCAGTTGTTTGTGGCAGGGGTGGGGGCCAACACCTCAGGCTTTAACCTCCTCACCTGTGCATTTTCCACTGTATTATATTATATCCTTCTCATAACCTTTGCTTTTTAAAAGTTAAAATCAGTTTGATGATAGACACATCTGTGAAAATAAAACAAAACTCAGAACTACTCCCCTACTCTCCTCTTTTCAAGGGCCTCTTCTCTATTATTTTTCACTCCAGAATGCCAGCCATAAGTTAGTAGTTGTGTCTATATCATTGAAAAATTAAAATATTCCAGAACTGCCCCCAAAGTACTGCTTTTAACAATGCAAAACACAAAGAAATGGCTCCTACTCGATCTCATATTAAAATCATAAGGAGAACAGCCGAATGAGCACACTGTACTCCGCAAGTCTGACCACATCATCTCACTGTACCCTTACAGCTGTATGAGGTTAGTATACAAGAATACCGAGCCACCAAAAATTCAAGTAAAGTGCCCCAATTTAAGTTATTTCGCATGGCTAGGAACTTGTAATCAGTTTGTCTCAAAAAATCACAATGTAAAACTGTTCTTCAAAAGCAACTACTTTAATAGTTACAAAGCATTTTTGAAAGAATATTTTACTCATGTCTCATAGAATCTCATTTAAACCTTACAAGCATGATGAATATCACCATTTGGTTGAACAGAAAACAAGGCTGGGGAACACCCAACGTTCTCACAGTTAAGTAGGTAGCCAACACTCAAGTAGAGCCTTTGTGGTGTGTGCGATACTGCCCACAACCCACCACACCTCTTCACACCTGAACACTGACCAGGATATCTTAAGAACAGTCCTGGGAGGAAAATAGTATAAAACTGACTATCAACAGCCAAAAAACGAATGCCTTGATGTTCAGATTAAACTGTTGATTGTACTGAAATCCATGGGTACACCAGGGACAAAATCAATTGTGGCAAATCTCCCCAAAGGCTTGGTTGTGCATCCTTTAATTTTTATTCAGATAATCTGTGTTCACTGAGCTGCAGTAAAGGATGCATGGACTATTTTTATTCGGAGAAAGGTGATAACACCAGCCCAGCAGAAGGACCCATCCATGACCAGAATGCAATGGCCTTCATTATCTTCCAACTCACTGCTGAATGACTCACGGAGAGCTGGCAGATGGTGTTTTCTCTCGCACCTTGCCTTGCACT